CCCTCCCCCCCACCGCCCGCACTGACATGTGGGGGGCGGGGGGAGCCACACGCAACTGCAGGAGCCACTCGCTCCTCAGGCCACCGTCACCCTGCCCGGCTCCCGAGCTGCTGGCACCATTTCCTGGAACAGCCGACCTTCCGACATCCCGTCTCTCGAGTCTCCTCCCCTCTCGTCTGCTCTCCTCGCCGCCTTTTTAATTCTTTCTTGAGCATTTAGATCATTTAGATCAGGCGTCCCCAAACTACGGCCTGCGGGCCACATGCCACCCGCCTAGCACACTTATCCGGCCCGCCGGGTGTGTTTGCCGCCGCTGCCTGTCCTGCTTAGGGCCGACTCGTCCCGGGCCCACGGTGCGCACGTGTGGAACGTGCGACCCACCCTCCAACGGTCTGGGGAACAGTTAACTGGCCCCCTGTTTAAAAAGTCTGAGGACCCCTGGTTTCGATCGCCGTCCGTGCACGTTCACTGTGCTCTCGTCAGAAAGCACCGGCACAGCCACGCCTGGGGCCGGGGGTGACGCCCTTCCACGCTTGCCGGAGCGTCAGCTAGCCTGCGCAGGGCCTGCGCCTCCTGGGGCTCGCCGGACACTCCGGCTTCTGGCCCTGCCCCTTCTCTGCCACCAGCGCCCGTCCCGTCCCCATGGGACCAGAGATGATGGAAAATAAAAATCACATGTGCCCCGACACGCACACGCATGTGCAAACACGCAGTCTGTGTGTGTCCGTGTATCCGAGCAGCCGTGCGTCGGTTAGGTTTGGTGGATGCTGCGTGGCCAGGCAGCAAAGTCTGCGTCGGCCGTGATGGGGGCCAAGCTGAGTATTGCCATCGTAGCACAAATGTCTGACATGTTAACAAAAATGGGTATTTTTGCTGTTTTATTACCATGTGTTAGCGGTGGTCATGTTGTCGAGTGAGTGAGCCACCCGGGTCGGGAGCAGGCGTATCCGGGCGCTGCCTGTCCACTGCCGGGTTTCTCTGCGTACTCCAGGCCGCGATCCGGGAGGCTGCACGGATGTGCGTGTGCGCCTGTGTGCGTGTGCACGTGTGCGTGTGTGTGTGGGGGGGGTGTTGGTGGAGAAACGCCGCGTGTTGGTTTTCTTCGTCACGTCTACGCTGGCTTTGGAGGTTCTGCCCTTGTGCATTTCTGAGGCAGTACAGTCGACAACGTCGGCTACTGGTTCATCCTTGTAAAACGATGTGAAAGCTTCTAAATAAGACTTTTTATGTGAAAGAAGCACGGTCTAGACCAAAAAAAAATTTTTTTAAAGCCTAAAGGACTCTTTTGTTGTGAGGGCCAGTTACGCCAAACAATTCCACAAAGACATGAAACCGGGCATGTGAAACAGAGTATAGGACATAAACGCTGATAATCCCTTTTATTCTGCCTTGCGTTGTTATTTATGGCTCTGCGCACGTCTGCTCAGGAAGGGGTGGCAGACTTGGGAAAGGTGGCAAGCTTACCTGTCCTCTCTCACTGTTTGTGCTATCTCCCCATTTGCTTCGGCAGTTAACTGTTCGATAAAGGTTCTTAATAATTGACTTTGCACATAGAATTAATAGCTTTTGCCGTGTGGATTTTTGCACACGTAATTCTTACAACAGTGAATTCATGTTTATAAACCACCCGACTGGGAGAACGACGCATGCGTGCATGCGAGCAGAGGTCCGGCCCAGCACGTGTCGAATGCGTGTCTACACCTGACAGTGAACGTCAGGCTGCCTGGCTTGCAACACGGATGTGGTGGTGATTCTGCAGACGCAGAGATGACGGTGACATGCGTGCCGTGTGGTCGCTGACCGCGCACAAGGTCACGGTGCCAGGGATGACCTGAGCTGGGTGCGTGTTTCCGGGCCAGGGTGTTCACGCAGACGCCACGGCCCGATGGCAGGTGCCGGGCAGACAGCACCTCTGGGCGCGACTCCGGTGGGTCCCTGACAAATGGTTTTCCCGTGTGGTTCTGTGTCGGCTCCGTTAACTCACTCTTGGCGTTTCCCTGCAACATCGTCTTGGAAATCGGGACGCTGGCGGCTGGGAGATTTGTGGATATCCCATAGTTTATTGGCTCTTCTCCTTACGTCAGATGTGTCCGTTCCTTGGGTCCTGTCCAGCGTAACGCTGCCCTCGGACGTCGACACGCGCCTCGTCATTCACTTTCCTTTCATTCTTCCTGTCCTTTTTTCTTTTTTAATTTGAGACAGAGTCTCACTCTGTCGCCCAGGCTAGAGTGAGTGCCGTGGCGTCAGCCTCGCTCACAGCAACCTCAGACTCCTGGGCTCAAGCGATCCTCCTGCCTCAGCCTCCCAAGTAGCTGGGACTACAGGCATGCGCCACCATGCCCGGCTGATTTTTTCTATATATTTTTAGTTGGCCAATTAATTTCTATTTTTAGTAGAGACGGGGTCTCACTCTTGCTCAGGCTGGTTTCAAACTCCTGACCTCGAGTTATCTGCCCCCCTCGGCCTCCCAGAGTGCTGGGATCACAGGGGTGAGCCACCGTGCCCGGCCCATCCTTCCTGTCCTTAACCGTCGGGACGAGGCCTTGGCTGTTGCCGGGAACTGGCCTCTTCCCTTGTGTGCAGGAAGGTCCCGCAGACGCGGGAGGCGGTTTCATCTCCCCTTCCGCCACACGGCTCCCCTTCAGTGACCGGTTTTGTCTCACTTGCAGGTTCTTCTCGGCGCAGCATTCGAACCCTACGCCCTCCCCCCATGGCCCGGCGTGGAGCCCCTGCCCGCTGCCCACTGCAGCCCACGGCTGGCGCCTCCTCCCGCCATTCCCACGCTCAGCCCCGGAGGCCACTGCCTGGGTTTTGCCCGGGGCACCTCCTCTGCCGGAGAGACACAGGCTTCCCGGCCCCGATGTCCTGACCTGTCCTCCGTGCCGTTGGTGACAGCTTCTGCTTTCTGAGGGCCGGTGGCCGTTAGGTTTCACGCAGCCATGAGACCGGCCACGGGGGTCTGTCCCACTGCGGTTCGTGGTCTCTCGTGGATGGCGCAGGCTGAGCGTGGCGTGCACCTGTTGTCGTCTGGCCCCAGACTCAGAACCTGGACGGCAACTGCCCTGCCTTTCTTCTGCTGGAATGAGTAGTTGCCTTCTTCTTGCTGGGCCTGCGTTTGTTTTTTTGCCTTTCATAAAACCCAGCACAGAGATGCTGGGACTTCAGCCGGCAGGGTGGGGAAGGGAGCTGTGGTCAAGGGGCACGGACACTGGGGGGCCATGGGAAGTGACGCTGCCGTGGGCCGTGGCCCAGTGTCCCTGTTCCCCGGGCACAGACGGGGCCGGCTGGGGCGGGGACCGGAGCCCTGTGTGCACCGGTGATGGTAGTGGAGGTGGGGCTGTCCCCAAGGCCAAACCCGCCCTGCAGCCAGGCGTGGTTCGGGCTGACGGCGGGCATGGTGTCCAGGTGGGAGGTGCTGTCCGGGGTGCAGCGGCCACCCTCTGTCCCCCTACCTGTCGGACAAGGACGTCTTACAGAGGGCCACACGGCTGCTTAAACCTAGCAAAGACCTGCAGCAGAGCCCCTCGCTTCCAGCCTGGTGATTTTTCTGTGCGTTGTGCTGCAAAAATCCCACCCCACAGAGGCCTCTGGGGGTCGTGCGCCCCGTCTCCCACCCAGACGGAGGGGCACCCCCTTTGCTCGCACTTCAAGAAAAATCTCCTACGTACGGTCTGCGGCTGAAACGTTTTGGGGACAATCGAGACATTTCAAGTGTGTGTTTGCTACAGTTGCACAAGAAACCCAAGGGAACCGATTTTTCAGAGCCTAAGCAGTTAATGCTGGAAATTCTGCTGCAAATAAATTGATCAGTATGCAAGACAGTTGTCACGGCTGAATCATGGTCCACAGTTAAGGTAAACAGATCTGTGATGACATTTTCTGAGCAGAATACAAATGCAGCCTGTTCCTCCCAGAGGTTTCTGACATTTCTTCTACACGGATAACAGATTCTCCCAAGAAGGTGCTGGCCGCGGGAAGACAGATCCTTGTTTAATCCCTCTCGGAAAAGGTAGGGCTGAGGTGTTTGATGTGGGAAGAGGGCTGTTCTGGGAGCGATGAGGATCGGGGAGAGCGGTTTCCTTTGCTCGGCTGCCTCCCCTCCCCCTCCCTCCGCAAAAGGGAGAGCCTTCAGGTTTTCCGCTGATTCGAAAGATCATGAAAATAGCGCGTATTGTCGTATGGTGGAAGTTTGCATGTCATTCATTTTTTCTTTTTTTCCCCAATGCGAAGATGGGAGGATATTTTTCTCACTTGGACTCGAGTGAAATAGCGGGGAGAACAAACGTCCCTTGTCGTCTCCTCCCATTCCTCTTCTCCGCAGCGCCCTCACGTTTCCCGTCCCCCCGGGTTCTGGCCGCCCACACCGCGGTGCGGGGACTCGGCACCACATGCCTGCGTTTGCGGTGCGGGGCGGTCAGCCGGCAGACGCCGCGTCTCGGCCGGATGTGTCTGCTTTCTGTGCAGCGGCGACACCTGCAAAACCTTTCCGCTTGCTCTGACTTTAGCACGAGCTCGGACCCCCACGGCAACTTTGTCTAGGAGGGGGCAGGCGTCTCCCCCGGGAGACAGGGACCGTTCCCGGGGGGTGTCGGGCTGCCGCGGGTGCGGATGTTTCTGTCTGTCTGTGCGCCTGCCGTCGGCCGTGGGCAGGGCCCCGGAGCAGAGAGCTAGACAGGAGGGCTGCGTTCGAGGCGGGATGAGGACTCTGGGCCCAGAGGGAGTCGCAGCTGGGACGAGAGGCCAGGAGGCTCGGTGACCGGAGTGCGGGGGTACCCCTCGGGGGACTGAGGGGGCCCGCTCAGGAGTTCCGGCGCAATCCGAGGCAGGCAGGCGGGGCGGGGCACCCTGCACACACGGAGCTCCGTGCTCCCCTTGCGTGGCCAGGCTAGCACAGGGGGCTGTCCTGCGGGAGGCCCTCCCCGGCCTTCCCGGCGTCCCCATGGCACGCAGCTGTCTGCATGAGCGTACCGGGCCCCGCGTCTGTCCACGCTCCAGACCGAACTCACTTCACCTGGGGTGGGGGCGGCCCCTCAGCTCTGACCATCGCTCAGCTTCTAGCACGGCCCCCGGCTCAGAGCGAGAGCTTTGCAAACGCTGCTTGCGATGGAAGCAACAGCCTCTGCTAAAGGGAGGGATGTCCCGGTCGACTCCATTTCTTGGTCGGAGGACAGATGGGGAAACCGAGTCAGATAGTGCCGCAGCCAGAACGGGAACCGGGCTCCCGGGGCATGCGTGGCCCTCTGAGTGAATGCAACGGGGAAGGCGCTCCTGCCCCCACCTCCCCGCAGAGGTCCCCGTGGACCGAGTGCGTGTGACATGGCAGCTGTGAGTGCAAAGTGACCCAGCCGTGTTTCTCTCCCGTGTCTAGCAACGCTCTGCCCATGCAGTGTGGGAGGCTCAGGAGACCGGGATTTTCAGCACGCTCCCGTTTTGGGTTCTGACGCCGGCACACTATTTTGAGGCAGTGACATCATCTCTCTCCTCCTGAGCACCCTCCTTGCGGCTCCGTGACTCAGGCCCCGCGGTCTCCCACCTGGGCTGCGGTCACCTCTGCCCACTGGCAGGAGAAGTGCAGGTACAGCAGGAAGGAATCGCCGGGACCAGAGCCAGCCTGGGCCGGGCAGGGCTTGGTCGGACACGGGCCTCCTGGAGACGCCGTGTTTGAGCGGCACCTGGATGACCGTGGGGAGACAACTAGGGAGGAAGGTTTCTCGACACAGGACACAGCAGGTGCAAAGGCCCTGCGGTGGGAGGGGATGTATCGTGCTCCAGGGACGAGTGGGGCCAGCGAGGTGGGTGGGGAGGTGGGCAGCGGCCCGACCACCCAGGAACGGGCTGACCGTGGCAGGGCACTCCTGTTTGTGCCGAGAGCAAGGAGAAGCCGTCAGGGGATGGGAGCAGCAGCCGGCCTTGTCCGGAGTGGCTTCCGGGTGGGGAATGGACAGAACGGGCCCGAGGCAGGAGACCGGGGGCGCTGGGGCGGGCATGGCAGGGCGTGGGGTGGGTCTGAGACGCACAGCATGGAGGTGGCCTTGCTGCCGGGGCCTGGGCGAGGTCACCCGGGGGGACACACCGATGCAGGGAAGGGGCTGCGCAGGGCGCCCCGAGGTCTGGGAGAGGCAGCGGCCTGGGAGGAGGGCGCGTGGGCAGGAGGTGGGAGCGTGGGGCTGGGCGCAGGCGCGACTGCTCAGGAGGGGCAGGGAGCCACGCCCCAGGGATGGCTGTGGCGGGGGGCGGCTGTGGTCCCTGTGAGGACGGCAGCTGTCTGGGGTGACGGGGACAGAGTCCGACGGGAGAAGGTGGACGGGAGGCTGGGCGGTGCGGAGGCCGCGTGGGGAGGCCGTTCCTCGAGGTCCTGCTCCACGGGGGCAGCAGGCCGCGTTGCCGCAGGCCGGGCAGCTCCTCGGGCCGGGGAAAGCCCCATGTCTGCTTTTAGGGTTGCTCCGAGTTTGATACCAAATACCAGTGTTGTCACAGAACACGCCGCGTTTCTGTGTTGCCGTGTTTCCGTGCTGCGCCAGACACTGTCCTTTCCACGCGTGGAGAAACCGGCGCCGCACAGGAATCCTAGGCGAGGGAGCCGCTGGCCATGCCGGTGCAGGCTGCAGTGGGGCTGGAGGTTAGGGGACGGTGGCCCGTTCAGGGTTTCCGGCTCCTGCGCTGGCCCGAGCCTACGCCCAGGGCGCGTGTGGGCCAGGCCGCCCCAGGCTGTGACGGGCGCTGGTGCTCACCGACCTCGCAGGGGACATGCTCAGCGAGGTGGGGCAGGTGGTCAGTAAGGCAGGGTGCGCCTGTCGGGTCCAGGGTGGGCTGTGTGTGTGCGTGTGCATGTGTGTGTCTGTGTGCGTGTGTGTGTGTGTGTGTGTGAGTGTGTGGGGGAAGCCCTGGGGGCAGAAGGGTGGAGACGGGACGAAGGGGGAGGTCAGACAGGTGGAGGGGAGGTGGCAGGTGGAGGGGAGGCGGGGCAGGTGGAGGGGAAGCGGGGCAGGTGGAGGGGAGGTGGCAGGTGGAGGGGAGGCGGGGCAGGCGGAGGGGAGGCCGGGCAGGCGGAGGGGAGGCCGGGCAGGTGGAGGGGAGGCCGGGCAGGCGGAGGGGAGGCCGGGCAGGTGGAGGGGAGGCCGGGCAGGTGGAAGGGAGGCGGGGCAGGTGGAGGGGAGGCGGGGCAGGTGGAGGGGAGGCCGGGCAGGTGGAGGGGAGGCCGGGCAGGTGGAGGGGAGGCCCTAGCTCCGACTCACCTGGCTGCACCTCCTCCCTGGGCTGGACCCCCGCTGTTGGCGGCAGGACTCTGGGGGAGGCCATGCGGGTGGCCCAGTCAGGGACCCGTCTCAGGCCCTTCGTCCCTGCGGCAGCAGGACCAGGGATCAGGCTAGCAGTGGGGGGTCTCGGAACCGGCGGCCATTGTCACCTTTCTTGGACTGCAGGGAGCTAGGACAGAAAACAAAATCACAGACGTGACTTAATTCCTTACGGTAAGAAATGGTCGTAAGTCCCGTTAGCGTCTACAGGTGTGTGTTTAGTTGAACACACGCTGGCACGTGGCCACGTGGTCACCCGTAGGTATCCGGGGAGAGATTTCCTGTCCACACACTGCAGGCGTCAGCCTCTGCTCTTCTTCATTTCAGAGCGGAATCTAGAAGCCCCAGAGCACATCAGCAACACGCTACCGGGCTGGTCTGCATCTATAGCCGGTGTCCTCAAACTACGGCCCACGGGCCACATGCGGGCGTTTTTGCCCGTTTGTTTTTTTTACTTCAAAATAAGATATATGCGGTGTGCATAGGAATTTGTTCATAGTTTTTCTTAAACTATAGTCTGGCCCTCCAACGGTCTGAGGGACAGTGAACTGGCCCCTGTTTAAAAAGTGTGAGGAGCCCTGCTGTAGAGGTTTAGCCTTCTCTGTAGCGTGGGATTCCCGGCCCTGGGGGTGGGATCCCCCCTCTGACCTGGCCGGGGACCCCTCAGCCGCCTCCCTGGGTGGACACCCTGGAGCTTGGCTCGCTTGGGCTCGAGCCACGGGGACAAGTCGCCAGATCTGAGAAGCAGGAAGTCACTTCTCCAAGGAAGGCTGATCGCGTCGGTGGATATAGACGCCAATTACAGAGGGGAGAGACCTAGGTATTGTTTTTGTTTTGTTTTTTTTTTTTGCTTTTGTTTGTATTTATTAAGGGTGGCTCCTAAACGTCTACATTAGAGACAATGTTTGACTTTTTTTTTTTTTTTTTTTTTTTTAGAGACAGAGTCTCGCTTGTTGCCCAGGCTAGAGTGAGTGCCGTGGCGTCAGCCTAGCTCACAGCAACCTCAAACTCCTGGGCTCAAGCGATCCTCCTGCCTCAGCCTCCCAAGTAGCTGGGACTACAGGCATGCGCCACCATGCCCGGCTAATTTTATATATATATATCAGTTGGCCAATTAATTTCTTTCTATTTATAGTAGAGACGGGGTCTCGCTCTTGCTCAGGCTGGTTTTGAACTCCTGACCTTGAGCAATCCGCCCGCCTCGGCCTCCCAAGAGCTAGGATTACAGGCGTGAGCCACCGTGCCCGGCCTCAATGTTTGACTTTTAAAGTGCACTTTAGCCTGGTCGATTGCACCTCATTACACTTGGCTTAGGTATCATCCCGAACACTGACTTAGTTACCAAAATGGATTTGATGCAGCGAGACATAGTTCCTTAGATAAACTTTAAAAAGTCGGCTCAGGAGCAGGATCCTCGACATCTCGGAGGACGTTTGTCTTGAGCCAGCCGCTCCTGACCGTGAAATTTGAGGCGAAGCAGGTTTGCTCAGAGTCAGCGTAACCATGGTAACGCTATCTATCGTGCAACCCCCTCCCCCCCCCATGCTCACTTTTCCCGGGCACCGTGCTAGGCTCTTCACAGACATCGTCCTTTATTTTTGAAATGATCCTTCGAGGTATATTTTAGGAATATGTCATTGATTTTGACCCAGAGTAGCTCAGTCACCCCTAGAGCTAGGAAGCGTTAGAGTCTTGATTCTAAGCCAGGTATCGTGACTGCAAAGCCCCGGAGTCTTTATGGCCGCTGTGACTGAGTATAGTTCTGGAAGTCATGGCCAGTGAAATACGGCATGACAGAGAAACGGGACGTGAAATGAGACGTGACAAAGGCCAGCTGTGGGCTGGTGCAGGTCATCCCATCTCTTTGTTTCGCCCCCTCCTCTGTCTGAAGACAGGGCTGGATTCACCGTGCTCCTCCTCCTGTGCCCGCCTGCTGGGGTTTAGGGAGCTTTGCTTTCCGTAAGTGTGTAACAAACCTATTGGCATTTTTCTTTTCCCAGGATAAAATTTAGGGTAATTGGAACAGGGGAGAGATTGGCCTTTCTAGGTTTGCTGATGCCAGCTAAGATCTCCGCCGGCCTGAGATGTCCTTAACCCAGAGATGGGAGTGAGGAAGTTGGCTTTAAAATACTGAAACTAGGCCAGGAGCAATGGCCTGTAATCCCAGCACTCTGGGAGGCTGAGGCGGGAGAATTGCTCGAGGTCAGGAGTTCGAAACCAGCCTGAGCAAGAGCGAGACCCCGTCTCTACTAAAAATACAAATAGAAAGAAATTAGCTGGACAACTAAAAATATATATAGAAAAAATTAGCCAGGCATGGTGGCGCATGCCTGTAGTCCCAGCTACTCGGGAGGCTGAGGCAGGAGGATTGCTTGAGCCCAGGAGTTTGAGGTTGCTGTGAGCTAGGCTGACGCCACGGCACTCACTCTAGCCTGAGCAACACAGTGAGACTCTGTCTCAAAAAAAAAAAAAATGTAACTACTGCTGCATGGAACGTTAGCTGGACAGGCAATGCATTTCAAAAGTTTCGAGAGACAGAGACGTTTATGATACGCTGGGTTAATCGAAGTTAAACATACTGCTTTACGTAGGTAGGACTTCTCAGTACTTTTTAATGGATCTTGGCATCTCCAAGAAAGAGGATTCATGGGCAGCTTTTTCCTGCCTTGTTTGAGCATGGCACCATTTTTCTCGGAGAATTAAAGGACTGATGTTCCGTGGTACCTGTTTTATGAAGCGGTGATTTTCCTTTTTGCTTGTGTTTGCTTTAACAGCAGTTCTGCCCTTGAGTGTTTGGACTTGATGTGTTTCAGCCTCTATTTCAGAAAAAACTAGGAAATCCTTATCAGAATCGGGCTGGTGCTAAGGTGGGTGGGTCGCCACCCTTAATACTGTTTAGCTGTCACAAACCCCGTGTCTAACGGGGCGAGAATTGCTTTAAGAAAGGGATTTTTTTTTTCCTGGTATACTTTTCAATGTGAAAATGGGTTTTAAAAACTCAAAACTGTAATCATTCCCAAAGTTTCATGGACATAGAGCGGCTAAATGAAGGTTTTGTTTGTTAGTATTGTAAAATCCTTCTTCGAGAGCCTTGAGTGGGATAGTCCACGTTGACCTTCGAGTGTGTTTATCGAACAACGCTGTTTTTGGACGTGACTGCCGGTCAGCTGCCGCAGGACACGCCGGTCTCCCGTGTTTTCCCCGAACTGTCTGTTTGAAATTTGCTTCTTAGCCTGTTGCTCCCTTCTGCCCCAGGTGAGGCCGGGCTAGCAAAAGCTGACGCCGCGGAAGTCCTTCCCAAGAACAACACACAGAATCCGGAATAGTTTTCGTGCCGTGGGATGGTCTGAGCAAAAGAAAAAAAAAAACTGCCTGAGTTTCAGAACCTCCCAGAAAATGAGAAGAAGAAACTCTTTAACAGAGTGGCTTCTTTGAAATCAGGGACGCTAAACTTGGCCTTAACAAGCTTCCAAAGCCTCTGGCGTGTGAGAAACGATGTATCTTGGCCACGATGTGCAGGAAAGGTAGTCTGGCCCCCGAGTGCCAGGCCTGCTTGTTTTTTTTAATTAACATTTTTTCCTGGAAAGGCCTGGCTTTGGAGCACCAGGACGCCTCCTCCTGGCACGGCAAAGCCTGAGGAGATGCTTTTGATGCCCCCAGACCTCGCTGACCTCGCTGTGAACAGAAGGGCCCAGCTCCAGCTTGCAGGGGGTCTGGGTCTAGAGCCAGGGTGGGGCCCAGCCTTTCTGTTCCAGCGGGGAATGTTCAGGACGGGGGCAGAACATCAGCAGGGCTGCCCTTGAACTTGACCCATCCGAGTTACTAGTAGCTGGTGCCAGTGGCGGTCCTTCCCCCAGGCTCTGGCTGTGCTGCCTGGGTCCCCGGACATCGTACCTGCTTCCAGGCGGCCGGGAGATGGGAGTCCCTCATGGGAGCTGCTAAGACGTGCTGACTCTTTAAGCCACTGTTCCAAGCAGTCAACATGGGAGCGGTGCCCAGAGACGCCCCCTTCAGAGGAGAGAGCCCAGGGAGAGAGGAAGGGCTCACCCGAGCCGCACGGCTGGTGGTGGGCAGAGTGGCCTGTGGGACCCAGGTCCCGGGGCCCTTCTCCCAGGGACCGCAGGGCGGCTTTCTTTGCCTGTTGCTGGGTTCTGCTGGCATTGACAAAACCTCTCATCTTTGCTGCCTTCCAGAAATGGCTTCAGACATACCTGGATCGGTGGCATTGCCCGTCGCCCCCATGGCGGCCACAGGACAGGTGAGGATGGCGGGGGCCGTGCCCGCCCGAGGAGGCAAGCGGCGTTCCGGGTAAGCAGCCCCAGCGTTTCCGGGAACCGGGCCCGTTCAGTGTTGAGCAACTGCTCCTGACCTGTTGGGAAAACATGGTCGGTCTCTCCCCCTCCTGCAGAATGAAAGCTCAGCAGTTTGCATCCTGTTTGGGTTTTGCAAGATTCCTAACTATGCACATGATTCACGTCTAAGTGCCTTCGGGCCTCGGCACCCAGCTGGGGACTTCTGTTTGCTTGTCCTTGTGGCGAGAATGTGCTTTGTGATCCTGCTGGGCCTGGCGGGCCCACCCTAACCCTGAGGTCCAGCCAGATCCGCAGCACTGCTGAGTGGGCTGCAGGCCCTGTGGGCTGTGGAGGGCCCACCCTGGAGCCACCCGCCCTTCGCGCTGTCCTGGGTGGTGGGCGGGAATTCCTTACAAAAGGAGCCTGGAGCCTGAAGGCCTGGCGTCTCTGTGTGCCGCTCTGCTAGTACCATGCTTCCCCCAAAATTCGACCTACCCGTAAAATGAGCCCTAGCGGGATTTCTAAGCATGTGCGCAATATAAGCCCTACCCCGAAAATCAGCCCTAGTGACAGGCGTGGCTGCGCAGCGTCTGCACAACCCGTGCGTGTCGTCGCGGAGTGGGAAAGAACACGAGCAGCCCTTCTCATCCGCCCGTGAGAGCTCTGTGGCTCCACAGGAGAGATCGGGGCCGGTGGTTCTAAAGGAAACAGAGTCGCTAGACATTTAGGACGGGATTCGGGGTCTGGAGAGTGAGGATGATGTTCCAGAAGAAGACGACTTCACTCTATTTGAATAAATATAGATTGTTGTACCGTATTTAAAACACATAACACACCCCCTGAAAATAAGCCCTAGGGTGTCTTCTTGAGGAAAAATAAACATAAGACCCTGCCTTTTCCGGGAGACACGGTAGAACTGGCCCACTGTCCCACTTTCTCAGAGGGGAGCAGGAGGCCACCGTGCCCGTGACAGGGAGAGTGGCCCGCCTCGGCCCAGGCGCGGGCCCCGCCATGGGGTTCCCGAGAGCGTGAGTGATTCTGTCGGGCGAGTCCCGCTGGACGGGGCCTCGTTACTGCGCAGTCCCTGCCGGGAGGAGGTTTGCCAAGTTCAAGTTCAAGTTCAGAAATGCCCGTCGAGGCTTCGTGCCGCTGCAGCGCCCGGGCTCATCGACGGGAGCTCGAGGCGTGTTCAGCCGACTCCGAGAGACTCCTGAGTCATCGCTCCCTGTGCCGAGGTCCCTAAAGTGGACACGACAGGACCCAGAAGTCGTTTTTTGATCTTGTTTATCCTCCAGATGCTGCAGTGTGGTAGATATGAAAGACGCACAGCAGGACGGTCCACCGAGACCTTTATAGCAGAAGGAAGAGGCAGGTGTAGGGTCATCCTGTTTATTTTATTTTATTATTTTATTTTATATTTTTATTTTATTTTATTTCTTTATTTTATGTTATTTTTTTCTGAGACAGAGTCTCACTCTGTCACCCAGGCTAGAGTGCCGTGGCATCAGCCTAGCTCACAGCAACCTCAAACTCCTGGGCTCAAGCAATCCTCCTGCCTCAGCCTCCCGAGTAGCTGGGACTACAGACATGCACCACCATGCCCGGATCATTTTTTTTTCTATATATATTAGTTGGCCAATTAATTTCTATTTATAGTAGAGATGGGGTCTCACTCTTGCTCAGGCTGGTTTCGAACTCCTGACCTTGAGCGATCCTCCCGCCTCAGCCTCCCAGAGTGCTGGGATTACAGGTGAGAGCCACCGCGCCCGGCAGGGTCGTCCCGTTTAGACGGGGGACTTGACGTGGTGGAAGAGACCACAGCGGTGTCTAGGCAAGTGTGGCTCTGAAGCCCCTCCGTGTCCCTGCGAGTCATGTCGATTTTTGGTGCTGATGAGCCAGTGAAGCCATTTGGGGGTCGGTCGAGTCACCCTGAGAATTTGAACAAGTCTGTGCCCTGATTTACCTCCTAGGTTCACGCCCACTGCCTGCTCTTCTGAGTCACTAGATCTGACCGCTACAGACGTGTGATCGCACACGCATGCGATCACGCACACACACACGGGGGAAGGCAGTTTCCAGGTCCTTGATTTTTCCCAGACAGGTCCTGGTTCCCATGTTCCGTTGGTGGCCAGAGCGGGGCCATCCCCCTCTCATGCCCCGGCCAGAGCGGGACCCCTGAGCACAGGGCCGAGACCCCCTTCGTCTGCTCCATGGGGGCGGGGGAAAGAACGGGGTGGAAAGAGAACCAGGGGGACCAGCGTCCTGGTCTGCCTGGGGCTCTCCCCGTGTAGCTCTGACGTCCCGGGTCCCTGTCCCCGGAGTCCCCAGTCCCGGGGGGCCGGGGAGGGTGGTCACACACACCCCAGAGGCCATGCAGGCTGAGGAGGGAGAGCTGCCTGGTAAACAGCGGTCTGCGGGGACAGGTCACACTCGCATCAGCTGGAGCAAAAGGGACTTCAACTGCACGTCTCTGCCCCACGTGAAGAGCACGAGTTTTTTGGAATTTTTACAGTGCTGCTTTTTCTGAACTCCCCCGAGTTGTTTTTGCACGAGCTGCTCAGTAACTTTCTTGTGGGCAGCCGAGCCGCGCTCCCCGGGACGGCCACTGGGTGGCGCTGTGGCTCCGCGGAACGCCGGGCCAACCAGATTCCCAGGTGTTCCGTGGTTCTCTCCCAGGTGTGGCTTTGGGGAAAGGTACGGTGATGGCTCAGTGATCACGCAGGTGCTGGTGGCTTTGCATTCAGCTCCCATGCGCTGCCTGGCGCCCGGTTTTCCAACTGCATTGCACGGGCAGGTGTCTGTCCTTCCCCGTGGGTGTGTGGTCTTCCACCTGGCACCTGCCTTTCTCCCCCACCGTCCCCGCACAGGTGTTTCTGTCGCTCTTCCTGCCATCTTTCCAGCCACCCACTCCCTGTGGTCTCGTATTCTCAGTGCAGCCCTCGCTCCGGAGAGCCGGGGACGGACACCAAGCTGGTGGGGTCCTCTCGGGTCATTCTGAACAAAATCCTGCCCAGATTGGAGCTGTGGCTTTACCGCACAGAAAACAAAGCGAAAGCAGACCAAAAAAAAAAAAAAATACTAATTTCAAGAAGAAAATACCCCTTTCCTTCTCCGCCCTGTTCGAGTCCCCCGGAGCCTGGAGAACAGGGTCTTTCTCCGTAGCGGCTTCTCCAGGGTGTTTGTGCAAGGTCGGCCCGCCCACGGCAGCTGGCTGCTTCCCGGTGGCCTGGCTGTCCTGCGCCTGCCCCGGGTCACCCTCAGCCACGGAGGCCCTGCTCTTAGAGCCCGGGGTGGGGGGACCACCCGTGAGGCCGGCAGCTCTGGGTCTGTAGCTGGGGTCTTTTGTTTTTTTGAGACAGAGTCTCACTGTGTCGCCCGGGCTAGAGTGAGTGCCGTGGCGTCAGCCTAGCTCACAGCAACCTCAGACTCCTGGGCTCAAGCAGTCCTCCTGCCTCAGCCTCCCGAGTAGCTGGGACTACAGGCATGCGCACTGTGCCCTGCTAATTTTCTATATATTTTTAGTTTTCCAGCTAATTTCTTTCTACTTTTAGTAGAGACGGGGCATGGGAGGGAGTCTGGCTCTTGCTCAGGCTGGTCTCAAACTCCTGCCCTTGAGCGATCCTCCCGCCTCGGCCTCCCAGAGTGTTAGGATTACAGGCGTGAGCCACTGCGCCCGGCCCCTGGAATTTTTTTAGTCTGTTACCATAACATAAAATAAAGTGAAAGAGAAAGAAAGTCTCAGTGTGGAATGGGTGAGGTGGAGGGGTGCAGGTGTCTCGGGGGAGACTAGAACACCCGGCCTTCCAGGCCCGGCCGAGCCGGCCGCCCGCAGCCGAGCGCCAAAGCGGAGGGCGGGCGGGTGCTGGCGGGACTGGCGGGTGCGTAGCCGTCCCAGCCGGGGCGCGGGTGGGCTCACACCCAGGGCCCGTCCCTCTGCCTCGCCCTGTCTCCAGCCTGTCCGGGGACCGTGGCCGTTTTGCCGGCAGCACCGCCAACGGCCGGATAGACCTCCCTGGGCCCCAGCAGCCGCGCCCTGGCCGGCTAGAACGTTCCGCCTACCTGGATGCTCACCTGTGATCTCCACTTTGCAGGATGGACTTCGATGACGAGGACGGCGAGGGCCCCAGCAAATTTTCAAGGTGAGTCTGTTTCATTCTCCTTAGATCTGGAGAAGCCAGTGGCCGGCACTCGCCTCGCTGAGATGCCCGGGGCGCGGTGCCCGTCGTCACTGGAGAAGCCGTTGCCCGCAGTCCGACCTTCTCGCCGGTCCCTCGCTCTGTGGCCACACGTGGCCGGGTGTCAGCCAGGTGTCAGCCACCTGCCACCCCCTGGCCTGAGTGACCAGGCGTTAAGCAGCAAGTTCATAGCTCTGCTTCCTGAGACAAGGACTGCCAATGTCAACGGATTCCTTTCTAAGAGGCAGCCCCAGGGTTCAGGTCTAGAAAAAACCACGGGGGCAAGTCCCTTGTTCCCACCGTGGAAAGTAAAGGAGGTGTGAGGGCCCTGGGTGGTCTTGTCCTGCAGGCCGGGTGCAGACCTGGTTTAGCTGCTAAGAGCAGCGTCCCTTGTGTCCCACACGGCAGCACCGCTGACTGTGCTCTGCGTGGCGTCCTGAGTGCAGACCACCGTGCAGACAGGGCGCCGGGTCCCGGGCGCCGGGGTGTCATGTATGTTACACACATGTTGGGTAAGGCAGGCCCAGCCCCGAACTCTTGCTGTTGTGGTTTCACTTGGTGTGAGGTGCGGTGGGAAGTTCCGCAGGGCTGAGGGAAGGCACAGATCACTCCGCGGATCCTAGAAGGATTCCCGTCTGTCCCCTGCCCCGGCACCCCGCTGCCAGCCGGGCCCCCGCCCTCCTGGGTCTTGCTGGCGGCTGCACCTGGAAACAGGCCGCTTTTCTACCATGTCCGTGGCCCACGGCTTGGACCGACGGCCTGCGCGGCTTTGGAACAGAGTTTAGGGGAACAGCATGTGTGTGGAGCCCGGGGCCCACTGCCGTGTGCGTGTCCTCGAGGCAGCTGGCTTTGGCCGTGGCACCTTTTACGGCCGCGGTGTGGTTGTGCAGGAAACGCACTCTCCCGCCGGGCCCTGCCAGGGTCTCCGGGTCCAAGTAAACGTGCTGTCCTTCTAGATGCTTCCGCCCCGAGAACTTTTCCCTCCATCCCATCCCATCCTCCACCTTCAGCTTTGGGGGAGACGTTTTGACGGTTACCGACTTTGGCGTTTCCGACCCAAATAAGACTCGAGTGTCAACAACGACAGCCTGTGTTGTTTTGCCTCTGTGCAGACAGCCCGGGACAGGAGGACATGAATGTCCCGTCCCCTCTGCTCTCTCTGTACACGGCCTCCCTGTGCGAGGGAACAAGGACTTTGACTCTCTGTGCCCGAGTCCCCTTCCGTGGCACGTGAGCCTAGGAAAGGCCTTCCTGGGTCCGGGAACAGGGAGAGGAGGGAGAGGAGGGAGAGGGGGTGACGTCAGCTCGGCACGAAGGTCGGTGTGGGTGGTGAAGTAACGCACAGGGTGGGAGGAGCTGGTCGAGTGGGGCCGGCCGCCGAGAAACAGGAGCCCCAGACTCTGCTCCCGTCTCTCGAGCCTGCCATCGGGCCAGCGTTTGTGCAGCCCAGGCTCAAACCTGGGCTCCCGTGGACCACGTCTCTCCCTCCCCATCGAATACACGAGTGATGCGCTTCCGACACGCGGTCACTGGCGGGGCTGAGCGTGCAGGGCCCGAGCCCGCCTGATGCTCGGAGTAGGAGGGGCCGCCGTGGACGGCCCGTGGGTGCATCGGGCTGGGGAGACGCCTGCGTCCACGCCCAGCCCCCACTTTGCGGTGGCCGCAGCCGCTGTCCAGGGGAGGGGTGGGGCTGCTTCAGACCGTCCCCGTGCAGGGCTGGCAGGGCAGGCCCTGGGGCCGCTCCCACGTCTGCTCCTCTGCTCACAGCCGGACAGAGAGGCCCCCCCAGGTGAGGGCCTGGAGGAGACGGGGGCCATGCTGGAGCCGGAGCCCAGGTGTGCGTTGACTCAAAGTCCAGGCAGGTGCTGCGCCAGGATTTCTGTCCCCCGGCGTCTGTGCAGTCAGCTCTCCCAGCTTTTCTTGTGGGGGCTCCACATTCAGATGTGCTGCCCATCAAGAGACCCCATCTCAGTGTTTTATTGGGGAGATACGGTCATAGTCACATAGGAGCTGAATCGTAGCCAGCTGGGTGTGGTTCCTGCCTTGCCACGGCCAGGCCCGTCACGGCAGGCCTCACATGGAGCCAGGGAGTAGGCGTGAAGCTGCCCCTGCTGCCCGACCTCAGGCATGCACACACACACAGACACATACATGTACACACATACACACTGACACTAATATACCAGCACACACATGCACATACATATACACATACATCATGCACACACGTATCTGCACACGTACATGCATGTACAGGCATGTGCCTGCACACACACACTCTCTCCAGGATGCTGCCTTCCAGGGCCAGAAATGCTCAGGCCTGCTCCCCCCCCCCCAGCTGTCTCTCCCGTGCGTATTTGGGGACTGTGGCATGCAGAACCTGGCTCTGCTGACTTTAGACGGTTCCTCCCTTCCACGCAAAGTGTCGGGGACCTGGGGGGTGGGGCTGAGCACTGGCTGGGAGGTGAGGGAGTGGAGATCGATCGAGGGACAACTCTCTGAGCGGTGTGCATGTGGGCCACAAAGGGAGGGGCACTCGGGGCTCAGGAAGGGGGTGCTTTTTAAGGACAGAAAGACCCTGAGCACGTCTCTGCGAGGAGGGGAAGCGTGAGGGTGGCCAGAGATCCGGAGGATTCAGGAGGGAGGCTGGGGAAGGAGGCTGGGGCAGGGAGGCTGGGGAGGGAGGCTGGGGCAGGGAGGCTGGGGAGGGAGGCTGGGGCAGGGAGGCTAGAGAGGGAGGCTGGGGAGGGAGGGACGGGTCCAGACCACCGGGAGGACCAGTCTGCTCCGAGGCAGAGGGAAGGAGGCGCAGTGTTGCCGAGTGAGAGGCCGGTGGGTGAGCCGGGAGTTACGGGGTTAATTCTCGCGGCTCCCCTCTTGCTGAGCAGGAAATGGGGCCCGGTGTGCAAGGGTGAGCTGGGGAGGGGAGCTTGGGTGCCCCGGGTTGAGTTCAGAGGAGGCTCACAGAAGGCAGCGCTGTGAAAGCCTTCGATGCCATTCAAATCTCGGGCCACAAATGTGAGGTGGCCCCATCTGCATTGATGCCCAGTTTTCCCCGGCTGTGGCTGGACACAGCAGAAAGCAGTTTCTTCCCGACCCAGGGCTGGCGGCGAGGGCAGGTGCAATGGGGGTCGGGCGGCGGAGGCTAAGGTATTAACGAGAGGGTTGTCGAACGGGCTGAGCCGGGGGTCCAGCCGCACAGGGAACAGGCGGCCGGGCACCAGGAAGGGTGAGAGTTGGTAGAGCGAGAGGAAGACGGAGGAGGCTGGAGGGTGGGAGTGGGAACGTGGTCGAAGAACAGTCCCGACCGTGCGGGAGTCCGAGAAGGCTGGAGAAGTAGGAAGCTGTGGTCAGATAACCGGCGGCTGTCAGCATGGGAACAGCGGCTGAGGTCATGGGAGAAGAGGCGGTGGGGAGACGGGAGGGGTCTGGGCCCCCACCCAGCCGCTGGGTGCAGGGTGCAGTGTGCAGAGTGCTGGGTGTTGGGTGCTGGGTGCAGGGTGCACAGTGCTGGTGCAGGGTACAGGGTGCTGGGTGCAGGGTGCTAGTGCAGGGTGCTGGGTGCAGGGTGCTAGTGCAGGGTGCTGGCGCAGGGTGCTGGGTACAGAGTGCTGGGTGCAGGGTGCTAGTGCAGGGTGCTGGGTGCTAGTGCAGGGTGCTGGGTGCAGGGTGCTAGCACCGGGTGCTGTCACAGGGTGCTGGGTACAGAGTGCTGGGTGCAGGTTGCTAGTGCTGGGTGCAGGGTGCTGGTGCAGGGTGCTGAGTACAGGGTGCTGGTGCTGGGTGCAGGGTGCTGGCGCAGGGTGCTGGTGCAGGGTGCTGGGTGCAGGGTGCTGGTGCAGGGTGCTGGGTGCTGGGTGCAGGGTGCTGGTGCAGGGTGCTGGGTGCAGGGTGCAGGGTGCTGGGTGCAGGGTGCTGGCGCAGGGTGCTGGTGCAGGGTGCTGGTGTCTGTGTGGGCAGCCAGTGGTGACAGTGGTGGAAACCCTTGAGGGTGGCAGAGACAGACAGGTGCGCTTCGCAGGAGGGGACTTGTAGCCCAAGAGGGCAGATGAGCAGGGCGCAGAGCGGCCCTTCTGCCCTCGGGGCCGGACTGGCTTTCCTCCGGCCTTCACGGCTCTCACGGCCCCTGCTGTGCTGCCCGGGAGGGCTGGCCACGTCCCCTGAATGCCCGGCGAGATCCAGTCTTCTCTCCTGGGTCAGGCGTGGGGCAAGCCGGTCTGTGCCCGCCACGCACCAGCACTGCCGACAGCCGCAGAGCCCGGCGTGCAGACCCCTCTTCAGCCACCCCTGGTCTGGACGGCCCCCCAGCTACTGCGGACAGCCAGGTGGCAGGTGCCTCTGCGAGGGTCTCTTCCCCCCGCCCCGACCCCACCCGGGAGGGTCAGTCCCAGAGAGAAGCCACAGCACGGGGAGCAGGGGGTGACGCTTCTCTTGCAGGGGAAGAGCCGCGGCCCTTCCCCGAGTCAGGAATCGCAGGAATTGCGGAAAGCCCGTCAGTCCCTGGGCCTCGCACGGCTCGGTGGATTGCTCAAGCGCAGAGGTTATCGCTGTGCACTCTGAAGAGGGAAGAAACCCCTGGTGACCCGTCTTCCCGCCCCGATACCATCAGAGGAATTGAGCGCGAGCCTTGCCCCGAGTGAGGCCAGTCCCCGAGCCACATGCCCTGGAGGGCGCACCTGCTCGGTGACACTCGTCCAGGTACGGAGAGCAGCATCTCGCTGGCTTGGGGCAGGTTTGTTGTGGCAACCAGCGGCCTGGTTGCCGGGTCGAGAGAGGCTGAGGCACCACAGGGGAATGTGGCCGCAGGCCGTCCGCAGCACGGCTGCTGTGCAGGCGGTCCCGTGTGACCTTCCCGTGTGGCCGGGCAGCCGGCAGGGAGCTGCGGGGAATGGGGTGCTGCTTCCAGTGCTGGCTCCTTGGAGTAGGACCGTGGCAGCATGGGTGGCCTGGCTGGCGCTAGACCAGGTGCCGTCTCTGGTGGTCCTACGTCGGTCCACCTGCTGCCTTTAGGGGCTCACAGCTGGTCACCTTGGTGTGACCAGAGAGGCCACAGGAGGTACTTAGGTCTGTTTGCTGCGGGGCTCCGCTCAGCCAGGCCTGCACGGGGGCTTCCGGCATCTCAGGGTCTGTTGCCGGGGAGCTCCCCGTCACACACTCTCTCGGCATCCTCTACTGGCCTGTGGGGTGCAAGGGACCCCCCCCCGGGGACTGTGCCGGCACCTGTCCACTCTGCTGCCCCTGCCGGCCCGAGAGCTCTCCGTGCATCCGGCTCCCGTCCCCAGCACCCAGCACATGGCGCCTCCCCGACCCGCAGTGTCCCCCACCTGCCCCAAGTCTGCGGGGACAGGGCAGTCCCCCGTGTGGGCTGTCTGGTCCGGTCTGCTCATGCTGGGTCTTTGGTTCCCTCCCACGGGAGACGGGAGACCCTCTGGCATGGGTGACCCAGCCGCTGCCTGCAGAGCCGTGGATGATCTTTGCCGAAATTTTGCGGAATTCTCCTTCTCTGTGTTTTGATCAAGAAGCTTATACCTCCCGGACCGGGTTAGGCCGAGGAGGTCCCGTCTGGACCAGGGTTGGTAAAGAAACCAGGTTGGCACACACTGAGCTGCACCTCTGCCTTCCGTGCCTCGGTTTCCACAGCTGCGTCCCGGGGCCACGCTCGGGGTCCTCCCAGCCCAGCGGAGGTGTCTGTGCAGCTGACAGCTCTGCCCGGGTCCCCAGCCGTCATTGCTGCGGGACCGTCCACACCTGTCTCCTGCACGCGTAGGGCCCTCCTCCCCGAGTGTGGGAGATACTTTCTTTGATGCTGCCCAGCCCCTGACACACACGTGGGGCTCACGCAGGTCACGCACGCCAAGTGCACGCCTCACCCCTGCAGCCCGCACCCCGGGGGGGTGGGTGGCCTTGGCCCACGGGCACGGTCCTCGAGACACGTCCTTCTGAGCTCGAAACATGCAATTTTCCCTCCCCGAGCTGCCATGAGAGCTTCCAAATGAAAGTGTGTGCACTTGAGCGCCTGTCACTCTCGTATCAATCCCTGTTGCTGGGTGACTGGCCCCTCTCGGTCATTCTGACTGTCTGCTGGTGACTCTTGCCCTCTTGCTTCACGAGGTGTGAAGTGGCCGCAGCGTGCCCTGGACCGGGCAGCGACTCAGTCAGCGTGTGAGCAGTTTTCCCGGTGTTGTCGTCGGTCTGCTCCCTGTCTCAGGACCCGGGTGTACCCAGCACCGCGGCAACGTGGCGTTAGCTCTCTGTTCAGGAACCTCACAGAGCTTTTGACCCTGACGTCCGTGAAGCAAGGTGGTCTGTGCAGCGCGGGGCCGGCGGGGCGGAAAACAGCGCCAGGGCGAGCGAGCTCTGCCCTGCCTGGGCGGCGTCCCAGGTGGCCAGCCCGGCTGCAGGGCGGGACGTGGCTCTGCAGGTCTGGGGGCATCGGGAGGAATTTGAGGGGCAGGCCGGGTTTGCATTTTGAGAGATATCAGGAGGAGAAGGGGCAGGATGAGGCTGTTAGCGCCCCGAGAGCGAGGTGCCGGGCGGCCGGGGGAGGGGACGGGGCTGGGAAGCGGCTGTCTGAGCACTGGCCACGGGCAGCTCCGAGGGAAAAAGAGGCAGCCGGTGTGTGTCGAGCCTTCTTGTGAGGTGGAGCGTGTTGGAGCGGGGAAGGGCGGCGGTGGGGCCTGGCGGGGGTCCCTCGGCCGTGCCCAGGAGTTGGAACGCGGGCTCCAGGCGGTGCAGGTGCAGGGGAGGAAGGTCCGTCCTCCAGGGTGGCCGTGTGGGGCGCCGGGGCTGCCTCGTGCAGGCATGTCCATGGGCGGCCCGGTGCCCGCCTGGCTTCCTTTGCCCCTCGGTCGACACGCCCGGCCTGGGCCCTCCACATTCGTCTCCCGGAGAGCAAGGCATGCACGCCCGGCCCAGGCAGGCTGCTGGGGGCAAGAGCGTCTGTGCTGGGCTGGCGTCTCCCCGTCCCAGTGAGCTGCCCGGGGTCCGCTGGGGGCGGGAGGGCTGCCCGGGTCAGGACCCTCCCTGCTGGTCTCAGCCTCAGTCTCCCCCATCTGCTGCTCCCCAGAGGCCAGCGCAGGGGTGTGGGCACCGGGGCTGCTCTCAGCCGGCCCACACAACAGCGTCTCCTTGCCGTCTGGCCGGGTCTCCGGCTCTGCCAGCCTCTCTCCTCCAGCGCCCGGCCCCCTTCCCTCCAGGCCGTCTCCTCGCCACCCTCAAGGGCTCCGTCCCAGGTCCAGGCCTTCCTTTGTCCTGCTGACCCTCCCGATGTCCCTCTGTACAGGGGCGGATGAGGTGCAGCCCCTCATCCCCACGCTCCCGGCCTCCCCTCACTCTTGCTCTCTCTGGCGGTTTTCTCTCTGCACACCTACCTTTCAGAGCACTTCATCCTCTTCTGCCTCTCGCTCCCGCTGTGCAGCTCCATGTCTGCCTTGCTAATTGAACCCGTGCTGGTTGAGCACAGGTTGGGGCGTTCCAGGTTTTCTCTGTGTCCCTGTCCCTGCCCCTCGGGGGGCCCGGCCATGCTCTCAGTCTGGAAGGTGCTCGCTGGACGGCTCACGGTGCTCGCTGCAGGGACCTGCCCCCAGTCTGTGTGTCACCGAGGCCCTCGGCAGGTGCCACTCGCATGTCATTGGGCCTGGCTGGCATGTCTGCTCCCCAGCGGGGGTGGGCGTTAGGCAGGTCAACACGCGCAGTGTTGGGGCGGCCCGGCCCGGGGTGCCTCTCTCGTTGCTCGAGCACCAGAGCCGCCCTGAGTCCTGCGGCAGACGTGATGCGTTTGTGGACAGTTCTCGTGTCCGAGTAGCAGCTTTGTCTCAGGGCCGCTGCGCTGGCTTGGCTGTGGCCCTCTTTCGAGCCTACAGGTGACAAAAGCCCAGGGGGAACCATTCTGCCGTCGCCCCCGCTAGGTTTTCATCGTAGCACATCTGAGATCCAGCTCGGTAATTCCTCAGTGCTTTTGTTAAACATTGGCTGTTTGTTGTGCGTCGGCCGGGGGTGACACACAGCACCTGCTCTGCTACCTGCTGCGGAGGACAGTGTGCTGGCTCAGGACGGAGGCTCCTTCTCGACTGTGTGTAGAGTGAGTCCGTGGCATCACCGGTCTGCTTAGTGACACACAGTGGCGAGCCCGTGCATTGCTTCCCACCGTAGGGCGGGTGGGAACCGCACATCCAAGCCGCCAGTAACCACGTCCCGCGTGTGTGCGTGTGCGCACATCTGTGTATAGAGTCATGTGTGCACATAGCATGTTGGGAGACATCACGTCTTGATCTCCTGTGCTTACTGAAATGCCCGTGGGTGCATGGAGCGATGAGAACATGCCAGCACATATTCAAGGCGTGTAGACAGGAGAGCCGCTCTGCCCCGCGTGCGTTCTGAGCGCTCAGCGCCGACGCGTCACCCCGGTTCCGAGTTCCCCCGGGTCCGCCCGTGTGCCGTGTCCCCCCGCGAGACCCAGCCGCTAACGTGATGTTTCTCTCCTTGCGCCTCCCGACCGCGTGCCTTGTGGGAAGAGAGAACCACAGCGAGATCGAGCGGCGCCGGCGGAACAAGATGACGCAGTACATCACGGAGCTGTCCGACATGGTCCCCACCTGCAGCGCGCTGGCCCGGAAGCCCGACAAGCTCACCATCCTGCGCATGGCCGTGTCGCACATGAAGTCCATGCGCGGCACCGGGAACAAGTCCACGGACGGCGCGTACAAGCCGTCCTTCCTCACCGAGCAGGTACGCCTGGCCCGTCCCCACGCGTGGTGGGAGAGTCCCTGTGGCCAATGCAGCGTAAACTAGGTGGGGGGCGGGGTTTGGGGCAGGGGAGGGGCGAGGCCAAGACGGTCTGTTTCCGCTGCTCACCGCGGAGCTCTCGCCCGGAGCGCTTGTCTGGCCTCTGGGCCTCCCGCTTTGGGGCTTCCCGGTACCTGCACGCGGCGTCACTCGGAAAAGCATGGCGAGTGTCTGCGCAGAGTGCCCAGCCCACGGACGAGGGAGGGAGCTGGCAAAACGCCGTGCGCCAGCAGGATGGTCGTCCCGGGGAGCAGTGGTGGCTCCAACAGGACACAGCGCTTAGCAGCATTCGCGGGGACCTGGTCCGAGTCCCCTCTTCCCGTGCAGTTTCGTGCACTCTCTGTCCCAGCCCGCGAGGGAGCCGCTGTCACCCATGCTGAGTCACTGATGGGGAAGTCGGGGCTCGGGGAGAGCTAGCCCAGAGCCCGTCTGCGGCTCCGTGGAGGAGCCAGGGCGCTGTCCAGTGAGGACAGGTGGCAGGACCCCAAAGCCACACTGTCAGCACCTGTACTCGTCTTTGAGTGTTCGGGAAGAAGAAACAGGAGAAATGGCCAGTGAGACAGCGTTTTTACCAACGGACTCACACGAGCCAGAGGCCGGTGTCTGGAGTCTCGCCCTTCCCTGTCTGTGCCGGTCGTGGGGCTGATCGGCAAACACCGTAGACTCCAGTTTGCTCCTCCACGCACTGAACTTTGTGCCGTCCTGTCTCTGGGCTTTTGCGGGAGAAATGAGATGACGAATTCGTGTGCAGTGGAGGGAGCAAAGGTAATACTGTCCAGTCGGCAGGGAATGCGCTGGGAATGCAATAGGATGTCCAGTGTGGGGCCTTGAAAGTATCGGTGTGTTTAACAAGACACAGGGCACGAAGCCAAAGTGAAACAGAGTGGAAGTGGCCCGGGGTCATCGGGGGAATTTTCAGGACAGAGGAAGACCTGGCGGGCAGTGTCGGGTAGGAAGGAAAAGTGCGCGGTGGGGAGACAGAGCCGGTTGCTCTGCCGGAGCTGAGGGTCTACTCCTGTCACTGGAGTTGGGTTTGGGAAAAGAGCAGGGACTGCTCTGTTGTCACCGTCTGCTCCGTGGCAGACGTTTCTGCAAGAGCTTCACCTACCTGGTCCCTTTTTAAGTCATCCCAGGGGTCCTGGGGCCCCTCACGTGGCAGGTGCCGGGAAGGGACGGCCGTGCCGTGTGCCGTCTGCCGCCCACAGGACTCGGGGCTCGGTGGGTCGGGACACGGGCTCGAGCCTTGTGTTCACCTCCGTGAAGATCAGCGCGGTGGCACTTCCCAGCTCGCATGGCTGTGACAAGGAGGGCCAGTGTAGACGGTGTCACACGGGGCTCGGAGTATGTGAAGGATTCATGGCCGGTTGGCAACCAGACAGGAGTGTACTAGGCACAGCGAACGGCTAGGGTCAGTGAAATGCTTTTTTCCCTGACATTTCATTCATCCTGACAAAAGCCTGCAGGGTCGATGTTTAAAGTGAATCTCTTTATCTTTAAATGACTAAGGGTTAGGAAGTGGAGTGGCGTGAGAAGGAATCACACCCCTGTTCTCTCTCGGCTGCTTGGGTGATGATGTCAGTTGCATTTATGGAGCACCTACTGTGTGCACCTACTGTGTGCACCTGCTGCGTGTACCTGCTGCATGCACCTGCTGTGTGCACCTGCTACATGCACCTACTGTGTGCACCTGCTGCGTACACCTGCTGTGTGCACCTGCTGCGTGCACGTACTCTGTGCACCTGCTGTGTGCCAGGCTCTCTCTAAGTCCTCCACACACGGGATCTCGTTGAACGTCACAAAATCTCACTGAAAAACAAAAACAGTGTTAAAACCAAACTGAAGATGGGAAGTAACAGGCCCAAAGTTGCCCAGCCGCACGCAAGAGCCTTTAACTCTAAACCCAGGCTCTTTCCCCGGGGAGCGAGGCAGGGCTGGGTCTGGATTCAGGATGCGGGACCTCGGTGGTGAGTGACGCAGTCCCGGAAGGTCCCGGAAGGTGAGCGTCAGGGAGGAGGGTGGTGGGCAGGGAGGTCTGGGTGAGTCTGCGCCTCCTTCCCCACGACTTTCCCACGGTTCCTGCAAATGGGGCGAAACAGAGACGCATGGGTGAGGTCGCTTGGCCTTGGTTTCCCTCCCCCGGCGACAGAATTCTCTGCTGCCCCAGACATCCTGTGGCGTGTTTTGCTTTTCACACATCTTCCTGTCGGGAAGATCTTCCCAACACTGAAAATAAAAGTGCTGACCCCGTGCTATGAATCAGTGAGAACCTGGGAGACACCAAATAGGAGAAGTGCAAAGCCAGAGAAATGGGCAAAATAGACTTTTCCTTTTAAAAAAAAAATGCCTGTGCCAGCTGTTTCTGCCCAGTCTCCCAGGCAGGGGGTGTCAGGATTCCTCCCAGCCAGGCGCTGGGCGGCACTTGCCAAGCCCCCCAATGCCAAGCCCCCCGTGCTCTGCCCACCGGTGCTGTCTACTCTCTGAGTCCTCGGACCCGCCCCCCGGGACTGGGATCGAGGCTCTAGAGCCCCGCCTTCCCCCTCCACTCAGCGGCTGTCCACGCGTGTGCGGCAGGGTCTCCCTGCGAGATCACGTTTGGACACAGGGCTCCCAGCAGAGCATGTTGGCAGCCACCGATCCAGAAGGACCCCGTGGCCTGTGGGTTGTGCGTCCTGCATGAAGCGGCTGCAGGTGTCTGTGGACCCCGCACACGGGAGGAGACCCGCGGACGCAGAGCCGTGTCGCTCAGCGGCAAAGGCTCCTTAGCTCGCGGCGAGAACGTCACGGGCAGTGACAAACAGAAGGCGTCTCATCTCAACAAAGCCGATTGTGCCCCGTCCCCGTCTCCAGAGATGATGGCGTGGCTCCTGCTGCCCAGTGGTTAGTCCCGAGCAGTTTCCTTCCTGCCTTCGGTGACCGTCGTGACCCTGGCGGATCCGTGTGACCCCAGGGCTGGCGCTGCTTCCGCCTCTCACCGTAAAGCGACGTGGGTAATGCCAGCGCCCCACCGCCGCCTCCCGGGGTCACTCTGGGGGTCTGCTGAGATCACGGCCGTGACTGTCAGTTCCGGAAGCCCGACAGCCGCGAGGATGTAGGCACTCGCGTATCTGGCGAGAGACACAGTAAGAGAAGAGGAACCAGGGTGCACCGTCAGCGTGGCAGGCAGTGGGTGGGAGACACAGGGTCCTTCTTCTTCTCTCTTCTCACCTTCCTGTGCTCCTTCCTTCCACCGATACCTGTGAGCCAGGCACCACGTGCTGGTCCTTCTGGTCCAGTGACATGACTTTAGTTTCAATATGTGAGTGCAGCTATTTGCACCTTTGGCAACGGTGACCCCACCCATTGCCCTCCCATTCCCCCAGGCTGGAAGTTTTCTCTTTCCCTAAGAGAGGACTAGTTAGGACAGGACTGGTAGCATTTAAAGTAGCTGTATCTCAGGGATGGGGCAAGCTTTGTGCATTTTTCTGGATAAAATGAGCTATAATACCCAGTTAAAAAAAAAAAAAAAAACAACACTTGTTTCCCAAATGATTTATGTACCTGAATGAATATATGAATAAAAGAAATTGAAGTTGCTAATGAGGAAGTTTAATTGGCCTAGGTCTGTCGTGTGTTGTGCTAATCATACTCTTTTTCTTCCCAGGAACTGAAGCATCTCATCCTCGAAGCAGCTGATGGGTTTCTGTTTGTCGTGGCCGCTGAGACGGGGCGAGTGATTTACGTGTCCGACTCCGTCACCCCTGTTCTGAACCAGCCGCAGTCGGAGTGGTTTGGGAGCACGCTCTATGAGCAGGTGCACCCTGATGACGTGGAGAAGCTGAGAGAGCAGCTGTGCACCTCGGAAAACTCCATGACAGGTCAGTGTGGCTCCCTCTGCAAGGCTGTTGTTCTCTTCTTCAGCAAAATTCTTTTAGTATATAGACCAGGAAGCTGGGGTTCATTAAAAGCTGCCTAAGGGTGAATGAATAGATTTGATTTGGCTTGTGTAATGGGTTCATTCACTCTATAACATTTTTAAAAATCCATTTTTAATGCATTACCTTTTCCTTTATTTTACCTGCAATTAGTGGACATGGCCACTAGGAGTCAATGTTAGTCAGGTCCATGTGCTGCGTGATGAGCTGTTGTAGCAAGCGTGTGAACGTCTGTGACTTGGACCACAGACATTTGCTGTCCAAGCCACAGTTACCAGAAATGCAGTTTCTTATTGAAACATTTAAGTAGTCAGATCTACTCTAACATAACACACATGTTCCTAAATAATCACTGCAATATGTGAAATCATGCAGTAAAAGTAGTTTCTTATTGAAACATTTAAATACAGCCAGTTATACTCTAATATAACACACATGTTCCTAAAAGATCACTGCATGAAATCATGCAGTAGAACCTATAGGGCTTGTGGGGAAAAGGGGGTTAGGAATACAGTGCTCAATAATTTGCCAGACAAAAGCAAAAATAAGAAGCTGTTAGACATGGAAGAAATTCACAAATACTACAATAAACATGGCACTGGATGTTGAAAACCGCCTAAGGTTTGCTTGTGGAAGTGGTCTCAAAGTTGTCGCCACTTTGCGTTATTACGAAGTGGTAGGAGGACAGTCATGAGAAGTTGGACAGAGGGTTTGACACCAAATGTGGATGAGCGTGGCTTGTAGCATGCAGTGGACCAAGAGAGCTGGCAGATGTCTGAGGTGTGTGAATTTTGTGTATTCCTCTGCAGCTTGGTTTAGCCAACCACAGTTTTCTGTGTTTATCGGGTATTTATTTCTCACAGATAAGCAAACACAAAATCCATATTAAGCTTAGACTGTTCCCTAATGTATGAATCACACTGGAATAAATGTGCATTCTCAAAACAAGAGTTACAGAAGCATTGTACCCAGATACTTGCATGCTGCTGCGTGACGGATGTATTTGTGCCGTGTCGTTCTCCGTAACCATACAGTGAGACGTAGGATTCTCGTTTTGCGTCTTCCCGTGGTACCTGCTCAGGGCTTTGTGCCCCGTAGGCCTTCAGACGGTGATCTGCTTATCGTCGTCATACAGCCCAAGCTGCCGTAAGAGGATACCGTAAACTGGGCAGCACAAACTTATTCCTCGTTGCTCTGGGGACCAGGAGTCCGAGATCAAGGCACCAGCAGGCCTGGTGTCTGGTGAGGGCCACGCTCTGGTTCACGGGTGGCACCTTCGGGCTGTGTCCTCTCGGGAGGACCAGCCAGCTCTCTGAGACGTCTTTTCTGAGGACACCTCCCAAAGGTCTGCCTCGCCACACCACCCTCTGTGTATTCGGGTTTCCGCACATGGATTTGGGGAAACACTAACATTCAGCCTATGGTGTCCAAGGTCAAAATGCCAGCAGGTTTGGCTTCCCCGTGGTTTGCGACAGGCTCCTTGCTGTGTCCTCACAGGGCCGTTCCTCTGTGCACACATCCTCTGTGTCTCTCCCCTATCTCGAGAGGACACCAGTCGTGTTGTACCGACCAGGTGCACGTTGGCCCACTCGTACGACCTCATTTAACCTCAGTGACCTCTGTACAGGTCCTTTCTGCAAATACAGTCGCGTTCTGAGGGTCTAGGGGGTCAGGACTTCAACAGGTGAATGGGGGGCAGGGGAGGAGACGCACTCCCACCCACAGCACCGATGACAAGAGCAAGTCAGATGTCGTCAAAAGCGACAGAAGTCGGCTGTTCCTGAGGGTGACGGCGATTTTCTCCGCATGCGGGGAGGAAGAGGAGAGAGGGGTAAGGTGTGAGGACAGCTCCGTGTCCCGGCACTGAGCTCTGATCGCTTGCAAGACAGCAAAGCTGAGACAGACGCAGAGGGTCTCGCCTCTCGGCCCGCTCCCCCGGCCGGATTATCGAGCTCCATGCAGAACCCTCCGGAACGTACCTGGTAGAGTCAGATACCGGGGAGGGGTGTGAGAGGGAAGACAGACCAACCGGAAAGCGCTGGTTTGGCAGCTGAAGTCACCTTCTCTGGCAAGAGCCGTCTCTCCCCAGACTTCCACGTCTGACCACGGGATGTGGCTTCTGGGGCTGTCAGGGAACGCAGCCAAGGCAGACAGCAGGGAAGCGGGGGCCAAGGGTGGGTCTGGCTCGGTCAAGGGTGCAGCTCGCTGGCTCGCCCACGTTGGTGACATGTCTGTCCTTGGGAAGCCTGTGTCTGGCAGAGTTTAAAGGGCCAGTAGCCACATTTGGACAGAAATGTCCTTGGAGTGTCCAGGCTGCCAGAGCAGGTGCAGGGGAGCGGGTCCGGGTGGCAGAGCGGCTGGGTGGGGGGTGACCCGTCGGGCCTCTGAGCTCTCCCCTGGCCAGGCGCCTCTGGGGGGAGCAAGACGGCGCTGGAGGAGGTTCCTGGGGCAGAAAAGAGGACGGTCTCTCTCAGAGCCACAGAGAGTGTGACGGGACTCTCCCAAACCTGGTGGGAGGAGCTCCCCATGGCCAAGCTGCCACGCAGACGGGCCTGGGCGTTTCCTGGTGCCCGGGGCAGGCGGGAGCTGGGCTTCACGCGTGGCTAATCCAAGCGCAGGTGTCATGAAAACCTGCACTGAAAATCCCCGGCGTGACTCGATGCCTTCCATTGTGGCCTGCAGACTCTCAACCCCCCTGTCGCTGGACCCTGTGGTTCCAGGCCTGGAAAGGGGTGACGTGATCCTCTTGGAAGCGGCCGGGGCGGAAGGGTGTGGGGGCTGCCGGAATGCGGGGTTTGACTATGGCGGCCTCCCCTCACCCCCGGGGAGTCTCCGTCCTCGGAGCCTCTCGGTGCTGAGTCGCCGTTGCACTCTCGGGACACCTAGCGTCACCTGTACTGCACGTGTGCGCAGGTGCGTGTGTGCACGGGGGGCGGGGACAGGAGGCCTGGCTGTAGCGGGCTCGCAGACAGGTGATGGTGGCGCAGGGCTGCGACACCTGGGCATGGTGGCGACGGGTTCTTTGTTGAATTAGGTTTTCCCCGGCCGGAGGGGTGGTGTGAGAAGATACACACAGTCTCCTTGCAGGCTTCCCGGAAGGTGTGGGCCAACGCAGCGATTTGATTCTTATGTGAATAAAAACTAGAATTTACTGACGTCCAGAGAGAGTGGTAGAGCCCTCCCCTAGCGACCGTAGCGTTGCCAGGAGAGAAAGTGCCGGAAAGGGCGTTGGGGGCCCCTCTTCTTGTGCTGGGTTTCACGTCGTGATCTCCCGGCAAGCTCCTTTCTTCTCTCACCCTCGGTCCCCTTTCCTCAGCCCAGGAAACGTCTAAGGTTTCTTCCGGCTCCGATTCCACGCTCACGCCCGAGGCCCCGCGTGGGATTTAGTCCAGCAGTGCGGGGGATGGTGGAGGCGAGGGCTGACGGCCGGCGCGGACACCAAGGGGAGACTCGCCCGCGCCCCGCCGAGCCCCGTTCCTGGGACCCTCCACCGCCCGCGACTCGCGTGGGAAGAGGGGCAGCGTTGTCCAGGGGCGCAAGGGCCATGTGGGGAGCTTGTCCTGTCTCCAGGACCGGGTGGGCAGTGGGCAAGGCGGCCACTGCGGAGGTGTCTTCCCTGCAGCCCCCGGGCGGAGGGCCCCCTCTCTTGTCTGAGTGGCCTGAGCCTCAGCTCCCAGTGGGGCGGGAGGGGGCTGAGGAGAGGCCCTGGGGCATCCCGGGTGACCGCAGAGCCCTGCCTGTCACCGGGTGTGCCCTGGCGCGCGGCTCAGAGGGCAGGCGGGCAGCGGCAGGAAGAACGCCGGGCAGGGAGTGCAGAGCGAGCGGATTCTCCCTGTGCCTTCCCGTGTGGCCTTTCCCGAATCCCCCTGTGGCTGCCGAGCTCCGGAAAACCTGGATCCCGGAAAGCAGAGGCTGGAGGCGCCTCCTCGTAGGTGAGCTCGAGCCCTGCGGTGGGTGGGAGCAGCCCCGCGGCCGGGGCCGGGGAGCGGATGTGGACGAGGGTGAGCGCGGCTCTCCAGGACGAGGTGCATTTGGCCCGTTCCCTGCGTTCCGTCTCTGCAGCTCTGCTCCTGCCGGGCTCTTCCTGCACTTGGGAGCCGGGTCGGCTCTGGGGTTCCGGACAGGCGGCAACCTCGAAACAGAGCCGCTGCCCCACAGCGCAAGACGGCACGAGCGAGCAAGGGCGGGATCGATCCCTTCCTTCCTTCCATCCTCTCCTTTTTATGTCTCTCCCTCTCTTCCTTGCTCTACCCAGTCATTACTTAGTTTGCTTTTTTATGCATCCCTTCATCAACTCCCTGTTTGCATGGCGGTGGGAGGGTCAGGTGGGGCGCAGGTCACCCCGGGATCAGCCGCTCCTTCCCCGTCACCCGCAGGAGCTCCGGCTGTTGCTGGATGAGTGAATCCCCGTTTCCCAACCGTTCCAGCCCCAAATTCTTTGTGATAATTGGGGGAGAACCCAAGCCAGGCCGGTCCTCAGGGGACTGGGCTGGAAAGTCCCCGTGCATGAGTCACAGGTCCCAATCGGCTGTGATTAAGCCTCCCTATCTCCCCGAGAGCTCCGGCGAAGTCCAGAGATGCTTTCAGCCTTGGGTCACAGGGTTTGGTCCAGCCAGGGCCTGGGTGCAGATAGCAGCTCACGAGAACAGGCCCCCGGGGAGCCGCAGCCCTGCGCGTAGACCTGTCATCGGGCTGCGCCCCGTGAGAGCTTGATGGTGGCATGCTCCCTTGGGAGTCTGGGAGAGAGGACGCTGTGGGGCGCTGGGCGTGCCTCTTGTTTCCCCCATTCACCCACGACAACGGAATATTAATAACCAGGGTGAATTCCCTTGCATGTTCACAACATGTTCACCTGCTTCAGGGGCCATCGGCCTTGGCTACCCCTTAGCTTCAGTCACCCTGGAGACTCGCAAATGCACCTGCCCGGGGTCTGGGGAGGGGGC